GGCAACGCAGTCACCGGGCCTTTGCCCGCACATGAGCGTCTCCTATGATCTTAATGGGCGTGGATTTTGTTATCCCTCTCCTCAGCTGAGCACCTGTTCCATGCTAGTTCCCTGCAATGGCGGCTACCTCAAGGACTTTGAGGTCAGGAGGTGCTCCTATGATGGGTGTGGCGCTAACGGTACGTGTTGGGTTCTCCCCCTTTTGCATATCAGCCTTGAATTCTGAGACTCTGCAGAGACTAGTTCTGGGTATTTCAGTTCTTGGAAAGTAAAATGGGAGAGGCGGGGGCCACTGAATTGGGCGGAAGTCTGCATAGGCTGACATTTATTTACGATGTTTTTTTCAGAAATTTTAAAGTAATCACTGTTCCTCGACCATGATAAAAAGCAGATTTAAAACACTTTTTGAGCAGGCTTGACAATTTTTTTCGAATTTTTGTAGTGTGGCGAACTTCTTAGGTGGATGTATTCACCGGTGTAGGATTGTAGTGAATTTCCATGTCTTGTTCAGTTTCCAGTTCCTATAAGTCTCCTTCCACTGAAAGACTCCCATTCGATTGTTTGTTTTCTTCATATCTGGGCGACTTGTAGTACCTAGGGGCTCGGCCGCTGCATGTGTTGCTGTCCTTTGATTGTGAGTATATTTTTGCCTGAGTAATAACGCATGATTTCAGAGACTTTTACAGTGAATGTATAACCTGAAGTCGACGGGCTGCAGTCTGAATACAAGATCACTATCCTGATTCACCCCAATGGTACACGCCCCCCCCTTCCTCCAACTGGGCTATATTTATCATGGACTGCCAGCTCGCAACTAACTTGCTACACCTTCAGACTTTTTTTCTAAATCGTCACGTAATTTTTATTGCCCTAATCAATAGTAACTTTTTTGTGCGCGCAAACAGACATTCGAAAACACCTCATCGACTTTTGTGCAGAATTATGGAAGGTGCCTAGATAAGTTAAGCTGGATGCCAAACTGGCAAGATACAGTACCAGGAAGCCCCTATTCCATGCGTTTTTGGAGATTAGAGTTAGAGTAAGTGTTCGTTTTTTTTTGGGGGGAGGGGGGAGTGGTACCTTTTTCTGCATCTCGCCGATAAAAGGTCCTTATTTTTCTGCCCGTATTAGCTTTTCTCTTTAAAGGTGCATCTGTTAATGGCTGGGAGCCGTTAATATTACCCGTCGTTAATGATTAGACGGACTCTTCTTGTTTTCCGCAACCAGCAGTACTGCGAGATGACTTCACGCAGTAGACATTTGCTATTAGTTTTCACAAATCGGTGTCTTGCCGTTTGCCAAGGAAGTTGTCCCTCCATTAAGTTTATAGAACACGCACGTTACCTGCGGAAGAATTTTCTAAAAATAGGGTCACTCCTACCCGTCACGATTAACCATCCCATTGCGTGCTGTGTGATGTGCAAGATAATTCTCAACATGTCCAACAGATGGTGACCGGCATAGGAAAGTCCATTCTAATGATGAGTTTTTCTTTTTTGTATCATTTAAGTGCAGTGCCCTGTTCCTATTTATAGCCAAGTTAGTAAAACGTTGTTAAACACTGCCTCAGTCGTTTGGAGAGGTTCCTAAAGTTCAGCACGGATTATGTAAATTTGGCACGCGATGAGACGTTTTCCCCTAGCTGACCTGATTAAAGTTTTCCAGTTTTGTCCCCTAACCCCTGCTTCCGTATAGGGTACTTACAGATGATTGTAGGGTTTCGATTGGTCGGAAATTCAAAAGCATCGCAGACTGAGATAAAAGAGACGTCGGAGGCCATTTCCGGCTTGCAGCAGATGTCCCATCTCATTAAATTTTAACCAAACATTCTTAGATTTCCTTTAGATTAGAAACAATTGCGGAGGTAGAGTTGGAATAATAATCATCGTCCAACACAATCCCGAGCTATTTCAGTCGCAATAGGATGCCGGCTTTTGAACGAGTTTCTTTACGACCATCAGCAGAAACTTCCCTCTGTAAAACATTAATAGTTAAGCAGTATGAATTTTTCTCTTTGATTTTGGCTGCGCCCCAAATTTTAAATATACTTTATAAAAAACATGCACAAAAATATCCTTTTTGGTGTTCGTTTGGTAAAAAATTACGTCTTCTTTAAAATGGCTACTGAAAGAAAGAGTGGCTTTCGTTTTGTAAAACGTTTCTAATTATGACATTTTTAGGACCGTGAAATGTTTATTCATAGAATAGCCTATCGGTGAGTTTGTATGTGTTGTCCATAAAGCATAGAACATGGTGCTAATACACTACCCAGTTTTATTAGCCTTACATGTCACCTTTCTAATATAGTAAGGAATCGTAGGACTTGCCTTACATGGCAAATGTGAAACTTGTGATTGGAAACTTTCAATTGGAGACGTTTGTAAACACCAAAAAGAACTCCATTTTCAAGCAAGCACTTTAAAGAAGACATACTTTACTACCAAATAAATTTAAGAAGCAATATTTTGTGAAAGTTATCTATAAAATATGTTTCACATTATAGAGGCTCCGCAACCTAATGGGAAAATGCATCGTTCTAACGTAGAAATTATTACAGGTGACATTTCTGCAGGTGATCGGGCAGAAGCTCGCTCAGAAACCAGCATGGCACTATTATCTAAGTATTACTATACACAGTAATTATTATTGTGGCGCTAGTGTATTAATCTTTTCTGATCAAGCAAATTGATTTTACAATTTGGTTAATATTTCATTAGAAAGCAAATCCAGGCTGGAATTGAAAGTTCTTTTAACGAGGACTCAGACAGCCATCTAGCTCCATCAATCGAGTAATTAGCCAACAGCCTGTCGGTTGTAGTTCCGTGTGTTTAAGGGCATAAACGAACAGAGTCGGCTATCAATGTATTACCAACAAACGTTAGGAGTGCAGAATACGCGTATTTCTAGCTTATTAGCCGTCGTCAGCTGCACATACCCAATTCCAGTATAGTCACGGAAACGGCCGCTACACTCTAGTTTCGAACCCGCGACCAGTGGGCTAGAGACGAACGTCCTATCCACTGAGCCAACGGGTCGAAATCTTGCCGGTTGTCAGCTATTCTCACCATTCACGTAGCCTTCTACTCCCGGCGCTAGTGGAAAAAATGCAGGATTCCGCGTGAAGGACTCGTGCAGCAGGACACAGCCTGAAGATCTGTTGATTTCTTGTACGTGCCCACTAACTTGTGAACTGCTCTGGTGGCAGTTTCATCGTCCAGTGTAGGTGTACTTTACGAAACAGACACAAGCACAAGTACAATGAAATCGGACTACTTACATGTACGGACTCCAGAGCTCAGAAGCATTCTGTCGACTCTCTGGCTCCACCCCAGCGTAAGCGATTTCGAGCCAACTGGCTTCACGCTTTCCACTTTCATACAAAAAGCACGGTAGTCATCTGCATACCCTCGCTCGCTTGCAACAAAAGGACGCCAGCTCTGATGCTTATCAGTTGCCCGTGGAGGTGAATGCCTTTTGGGCAATGACAACTGTTTAGTGCATGTATTCACACACCAATGGGTGGTGGTAAACGAGTCCATTCCACGCGTTAATCAGGCAACGCAGAGTTGTGTGACTCTATGCTGTTCATTCGGGAAGGGGAGAACTGTGATGACATGCCTAGGCTTTCATCCTGCGCCAAGAAGTACCGCCTGGGGTTTAATATACATAGCCTGACGTAGTTTGGTTTATTATCTCATAGCTATGGGAAATGACCCTTTGTATGGTAACTGCTACATTCATATAAGGACAAATAACCTTGTTTTATTGTGGTTTTTGTTATTCAAATTCCACGGAGAATCGTTTTTATATATTTTCAAAAAATATTACTCTCAGTTTCGTAACTATATTTTGGGCCCAGATGAATACACTTGACGGAAATTTACATTTTTGATAGTCTCTTGTACACATTTCGCCGCGGGTCTGCCGTGAGGCCCCACCATTCCCACCTTACATGATCCCGGGTGTTAGCGGTGACAAGGCAACTTTTCGTAAGCTACCGTTGCCGTACGCCCAATCCCAGCATCAACTGGCTGACGGTCTCGAACAATAAAGTGATGAGTGGTAAAGGCGGAGGATAAAGTCCGGTGGCTACTTAGCGTAGTTCTAACTATTTGACACGCTCGCCTTTCTTATGACGTACGAATCGCCGTGGCCTGAAAGGGTTGCCAGCTGATGGATAACACTGACTTCATATTCCTTTATTACTATGGTGCTCGCATGCCTGTGAACTCTGAACCGTCCTTGCAGAAGCCTGGCACGTTTAGTAGGGAAGAGACAGTGTGTGAAACTCGTAGGCGGGTCATGTAGGTTTTGTCGGCCATTGTGATCGCTCCCACCTCCGGTCGTTGTGACGTCCTCTTGAGATCAGCGAAAGGGGTGTGTAAAGATAGGGGTGATATTAATGTTGCGCAAGCCAACTTCACTATTAACCAAATCACATGCATTTCATTATCCTGCGCGCACACAAGTTTGACTATCGACTGTTCCGACGATATCGATGGTTTGCTCTA